TTACAATTAAAAAAAATTGATTTTATTTTTTCAAATTTAACAAATAGGTAATTAATGCAAAATTGGAAAAAAAGTTGAAAAAAATTGTTTCCATATTAAAATTAAAATTGAATTATTTTTTTTTGGCAGGTTTGGTTCTGCGACGTCCTTTTACGCCCCGGTTTTGAGTTCTATAAAGGCTACAAAGTGCCCCAAACTCGAAATTTGCAAGGCTATGTTGACTACATCAATAGCCTTCCCACCACCGACAGTCCTGAAGTCTTTGGTTTGCATGCAAACGCCGATATCACTTATCAGATAAACACAGCGAAGGGTATTTTGGACACGATTTTGAGCGTGCAACCCAAAGAAGGGGGCAGTCAAGGGGGCGAAACACGCGAAAGTGTCGTCTACAGTCTTGCCCAAGACATGTTGGAGAAGTTACCACAACAGTARAACAGTTTTGAGGTCAAAGAAGCGCTACAAAGGATGGGGGCGCTTCTACCAATGAACATTTTCCTGAGACAAGAAGTCGACCGGATTCAGAAAGTTTTGAAAGAGGTGTGAATTTAAAGTGTTGCCATATCAAAAACATAAAATTCACCAGATCTGAGCTGAAAAATTTGCCAAATTGCCAAAATCTTGCGAAAAAACGCAGTTTTCAGCTTAAAAATCTGCTTAACTCTTGGAAAAAGCAAAAATGACATACTAATTCGTTGTTTTCTTGTCTGTTTTTAACAAAATTTTACAAAATAATTGTATTTCGAGCTAAGAAGCGTGCTAAAACACTCAAAAAATGCAATTTTCGTCCAAATTTTATAATTCCTCGGCTTATTTTTGTCTTAATTTAGCTCAAAAACCAGTTAAATCGAGTAAAACAAACAAAATAATGTAAATTTTAATTCTTTTTGTGGTTTCTAGGCGTGTTTGTGCAAAATTTTGCAAAATAAATGAGTTTCTGGTTCAAAAAAGAAAAAGTCGAGTGAAACAAGCTACAAATAATATCAATTTCGATTTAATTTTGTGATTTTTTAGCCTGTTTATTTTTTTTTATTTTTTTTTTGTTTTTATCTCAAAAACGTGCTTAAACACTCGAAAAAATAAAAAATAACGCCCGTTTAGGCCAATTTTGTAGAACTGTTAGATTGTTTTCAATGAAATTTGACGAAATAATTGTTTCTATCTGAAAAAGCATTCGAAACGGCAAAAAAAGGAAAATTTCGTAAAAACCAGATAGAACTGTTTTTAACAAATTTGGTAGTTTATCGTTTTTTTTGAGAAAATTTGACGAAATAATAAAGTTAAAACCTAAGAATTAGGTGTTTTTAACATAATTTTACAAAAAAAATGTGCTAAAATGGTCGAAAAATGCAAAAATTATGTCACTTTCAACTTAATTTACCGATTTTTCAGTTCGTTTTAGCAAAATCTCACAAAAACCATGAGATTTTAGTACAAAAACGTGTTTAAAGGCATTTTTGACCAAATTTTGTGGTTTCTGGGCTTATTTTTGTCTTCATTTTGCCCAAAAACCAGTTAAATCGAGTGAAACAAACAAGATAACATCAATTTCAATTCTTGTTGTGGTTTTTAGGCGTGTTTTGACAAGATTTTGCAAAATAAATGAGTCTGTGGTTCAAAAACGGAGTAATTCGAGTAAAACTTGCTCAAAAATTATATCAATTTTGAAAGTTTTTAGCCTGTTTAAACAAAAAAAAAACATGAGGTTTTAATACAAAAATGTGTTTAAAAGCATTTTCGACCAAATTTTGTGGTTTTTCGGCTTATTTTTGTCTGAATTTTACTTAAAAACCAGTTAAATCGAGTGAAACAAACAAAATAACACCAATATCAATTCTTTTTGTGATTTTTAGGATGTTTGGAGTCTGGTTCAAAAACGAAATAATTTAAAAAAAATAAAAAAATTTGATTAATTTTTTAGCCAAAATTTATATTAAAAACGTGCTTAAACACTCGAAGAAGGCAAAAAATAATCACGTTTCAGCTCAATTTGTTGAATTTTTGGCTTGTTTTTAATGAAATGTTGCGAAATAATTGCATTTCTGACTGAAAAAGCAATCAAAAAAGCAAAAAAATTAGAATTAGATATCATTTCCGACCCTATTAAATAAAATCTCGTAAAAAAACAAATAGAACTCTTTTTAACTAATTTGGTAGTTTTTCGATTTTTTTTTNCTTGGACAAGATTTTACAAAATAAATGAGTCTCTGGCTCAAAAACGAAGTAATTCGAGCGAAACAAGCTAAAAAATAATATCTATTTCGATTTAATTTTGTAATTTTTTTGCCTGTAACAAAATATTTAGAATTTTTTTGTTTTTATCTCGAAAACGTTCTTAAACACTCTAAAAGGGCAAAAATAACGCCGTTTTTGGTAAAATTTGTTGAATTTTGTAATTTCAATAATAATTGTGTTTAATAACGAAAGCGAAATAAAACGTATTTGAAAACTATTTTTAACCAATTTGGTGGTTTTACAACGTTTTTTAAAAAATTTAACGAAATAATAGTTTCTGATTGAGAACGTAAAAAATGCTCGAAAAACATATATTAGAATTTTTCCAAAAGTTTTACCAGACTAGCATGAAAATCTCACCAAATCTGGAAATTATTTGAAAAAATAAAGAGTACTTTCCAGGTGAAAACGACTTTGTGTGACTTGAAATTAGCCATCGATGGGACAATTGTAATGAGTCAAGGCCTAAGATGTGCCTTGGACGCCATGTACGACGCCAGAATCCCAGACKGATGGCAAAAAATCTCCTGGGAATCCGCCACTTTAGGTTTTTGGTACACTGAACTTTTGGAACGAGACGCCCAATTTCGCACTTGGTGTAATAACGGCAAACCTAATGTTTTTTGGATGACTGGTTTTTTCAATCCGCAAGGTTTCCTCACTGCAATGCGTCAAGTAAGTACATACAGGGTGTCCCAATGAGTCGAAAAAGTCTATTAGTGACCTTTAAATGGTAAATATATTGGACARTGATAGACACTAATCTAGTCCATCGCCTAAAATTATTTRCAACTATACAGAGTGTCTCAAAAATCAGTTATAATACAAACTTGTGTTTTTTTAAATGCAACACCATATGTTTCTTTGCGTTTTTGGATGTAGATTTTTATGACAATGTTTTTAAACTAAACTTTTATTAGTCGATTTTGCTTAGTTTTAAAAATACTACGTTTTTGGACGAAAACATTCATTTTTTAAAAATTTATTACACAAAAACTAAGACATTTAGAAATATTTTATACTACTGCAAAGCTATAAGGTTGTAACATTTTTTTAGTATGTTGCATTTGCAAAGATAAAAAAATGAAAGCGTTTGTTAAAAGTTCAATAACTTAAAAAAATTAAATAAAACACCCTATTTATTGTTTTTGCATTTAAAAGATTATTAAATTGTCTTTCTAAAATTATTACTTTTAGGTGTTTATAATCAATAACTAAAAAGATATTTAACGTTAAACATTAAAAAAATAATTACTATTGTTTCAGTAGACAAAAAGTGCACAAATTTGTGATTTCTCGGTTTATTTTTGTCTTAATTTTGCTCAAAAATCACTTAAATCAAAAGAAACAAACAAAATAACATCTATTTCAATTCTTTTTTGTGATTTTTAGGCGTATTTGGACAAGATTTTGCAAAATAAATGAGCATCTGGTTCAAAAACGACGTAATTCGAGCGAAACAAGCTACAAAATAATTTCAATTTCGATTTAATTTTGTAATTCTTTAGCCTGTTTAAACGAAATTTATCGATTTTTCTTTGTTTTCAACTCGAATAAATCAAAAATAACACGGTTTTAGGCCAATTTTTCGAAATAATTGTGTTTTTACCWTAAAAAGCACTCAAAAAAGGCAAAAAATTAAACCTCGTAAAATACAAGTAGAATTGGGTAGTTTTTGATTTTTTTTCGAGAGAATTTGACTAAATAATAAAGGTAAAACCTAGGAGTTAGATAAAAATTTCATATAATCTTTTTTTTATAACAATTTAGTGTTTTTTGACCCGTTTACGGTTTTTTTACATAAACTGAAGGTTAAAGCCTAAGAGTTAGGTAAAAATGTAATAATTTTTTATAACAATTTAGTAATTTAGTGGTTTTTGACTTGGTTGGCAAAAATCCCTCATAAAAAAACGAAGTTTTCAGCTCAGAAACCTGCTTGAACTCTTGAAAAAGACAAAAATTCTATCATTTTCAGCCTAATTTTGTTATTTTTCAGCTTGTTTTTGACACAATTTTGCAAAATTATTGCATTTCTAGCTGAAAAATTTGTTGATTTTTTTAGTTTGTTTTAGTAAAATCTCACGAAAAAACTGAGATTTTAGTACAAAATGTACATTTTCGACCAAATTTTGTGGTTTCTCGGCTTTTTTTGTCTTAATTTTAACTCAATAACGTGCCTAAACACTCGAAAAAATCAAAAATAAGAGACGGTTTTAGGCCAATTTCTCGAAATAATTGTGTTTCTACCTTAAAAAGCACTGAAAAAAGGCAAAAAATTAAAACCTCGTAAAAAACAAATAGAATTGTTTTTAACAAATTGGGTAGTTTTTCGATTTTTTTTCCAGAGAATTTGACTAAATAATAAAGTTAAAACCTAAGAGTTAGAATGAAATTTTTATCTAACAATTTAGTGATTTTTGACCCGTTACGACTAAATCTCGCAAAAAACAGTTTTCAGGTTAAAGAAGAAAAAATGACATCATTTTCGGTCTAATTCTGTGGTTTTTTAACTTGTTTTTAAGAAAATTTTGCGTTAGTAGCTAAGAAAACGTGCAAAATGCTCAAGAAATGCAAAAATTATGTAACATTCGACTTAATTTGTTGATTTTACAGTTGTTTTGAGAAAAATCTCACAAAAAACATGAGATTTTAGTATTAAAACATATTGAAACATTTTCAACGAAATTTCGTGGCTTATTTTTGCCTTAATTTTGGTTAAAAACCAGTTAAATCGAGTGAAACAAACAAAATAACGTCAATATCAAGTTTTTTTGTGATATTTAGGCATGTTTGGACAAGATTTTGCAAAATAAATGAGGTAATTCGAGCGAAACAAACTTTCGATTTAATTTTGTAATTTCTCGATTTTTTACAAATGCAAAACACTAAAAAGTTGCTACAGCTTTAAATTCTGCACTCTCTTCTTTGCAGAAGTAAGAAAAAATTTGTTCTAGATGTCTTAGTTTTTGTGAATAAATTTTTAAAAAGTGCATGTTTTCTTATTTCCAAAACTAAGCAAAATCGACTAATGTTGAGGGCAAGGCAAAAAATATACATTATTTTTGGGACATGCTGTATAATTGAAAATAATTTTAGGTGATGCACTAGATTAGTATCTATCAATGTCCTACACAATTTTTTTAAATTTCACAATATAAAGGCAACTCGCTGGAACCTAATTAGGTACAAATAATAAAATAAATAATAATAATTAGGTACAAATGCGAGTTTCATTGACTTTTCTAGGACGTCACAAGGGCCCATAAGGGCTGGGCGTTGGATTCTGTCGTTTTGCAGAATTTAATTACAAGATACAACAAAGAGGATTTGAAAGAAGGGCCGGCTGAAGGGGTCTATGTCCATGGACTGTTCCTCGAAGGTGCTGGACTCGATAGAAGAAGTGGTAAATTAATTGAAAGCAAACCGAAAGTGCTTTATGAGCTAATGCCGGTTATTTATATCTATGCTATTAACACAACGGCGGGAAAAGACCCCAAACTGTATGAATGTCCGATTTATAGGAAACCCCAAAGAACCGATCAAAAATATGTCGGTTCAATTGATTTTGAAACTGATCATAATCCCAGGCATTGGACACTTAGAGGAGTCGCGTTATTGTGTGACATTAAGTAAATAAAGAAATATATTATGTTGCAATTGTTATTTCCCTCGATGCTACGCATCTCGGGTAATAAACAGCTCGGCAATAAAAATCTTCTCCTGTGTTTTATATAATATTTTTTTCACTACTAGCACATTTTACCCAGAAATACAACACAGTTATTAATTACTTACCTGAGTTATTAACTTCATTTGGTGGTATTATTTTATTTTTATCGTAAATGAGGCTATATCATTTTTTACTTCTSTAACTAAAAAAATGCAAACAAAAGAAAAAGTTTTCAAATTTGCCCTACTACCGGTAGTATTGTTTTGARAATTTTAACAAAAACTAAAGGATTAGAGGTGGAGACGGTGGGGTTATTTTGATGTTTTTTAATGACAAAATGGTGAGTTTTTTATTGGTTTTTTTTTCATCACAAAATACTTCAAATAACTGAGAGAGAAAAATAACTTCACAACCTCTCGACAAACTAATTAATTGTACTTTTTGCAACTGGTGGTGTGAAAAAGAGACAATTATTTGTCGAGTTTCGTGAGCAAATTCTTGACACTTTTTGAAAATTCTTTGGCTTTAATGTCAAATTTAACTTTTCAAAATTTCCAAACGTCAAAATGCCAAGAACAGCAAGTGTCACCAGTTCAAAAAAATAAAAATCACCAGATCCGAGTTGAAAAAGTTGTCAAATTTATTTTCATTTTTACAAGATTTCAAATCGAAAGTTTTAGGGGTTTTTTTACATAAATTAAAGGGTTAAAGCCTAAGAGTTGGGTAAAAATGTAATAATTTTATATAACAATTTAGAATTTAATGGTTTTTGATTCGGTTGGCAAAAATCCCTCATGAAAAAACGAAGTTTTCAGCCTAAAAATCTGCTTGAACTCTTGAAAAAGACAAAAATGACATCATTTGCAGCCTAATTTTGTTATTTTTCAGCTTGTTTTTGACACAATTTTGCACAATTATTGCGTTTCTAGCTGAAAAATGTTTAAAACTCTCAAGAAATGCAAAAATAATGTAGGTAATTTTCAACTCTATTTGTTGATTTTTTTAGTTTGTTTTAGTAAAATCTCACGAAAAACTGAGATTTTAGTACAAAAACATACTTAAATGCATTTTCGACTAAATTTTGTGGTTTCTCGGCTTTTTTTGTCTTAATTTTGTCCAAAAATCACTTAAACTGAATGAAACAAAGAAAATAACATCAATTTCAATTCTTTTTGTGATTTTTAAGTGTGTTTGGACAAGATTTTGCAAAATAAATGAGTCTCTGGTTCAAAAACGTAGTAATTTGAGCGAAACAATCTAAAAATAAAGTTAATTTCGATTTGGTTTTGTAATTTTTTAGACTCTTTAAACGAAATTTATCGACTTTTCTTTGTTTTTATCTCAAAAACGTGCTTAAATACTGGAAAAAATCTAAAAATAAGACGATTTTAGGCCAATTTTATACAATTTTTAGCTTGTTTTTAACGAAATTTTGCGAAATAATTGTGTTTCTACCTGAAAAAGCATTCGAAAAAAATCTCGTAAAAAAATAGAATTGTTTTTAACAAATTTGGTAGTTTTTCGATTTTTTTTTTGAGAAAATTTGACGAAATAATAAAGTTAAAACTTAAGAGTTGGGCAAAAATTTCGTATAATCTTTTTTTTATACAACAAATTAGTGATTTTTGACTCGTTATGGAATCTCGCGAAAAAAAACAGTTTTCAGCTTAAAAATCTGCTTGAACCTTACGAAAAAAAAATTACATCATTTTCTGTGTTTTTTTTCACTTGCTCTTAACAAAATTTTGCAAAATAATTGCATTACTCACAAAACACATGAGATTTTAGTACAAAAACGTGTTGAAAGCATTGTGGTTTCTCGGATTATTTTTTATCTTAATTTTGCATAAAAACCAGTTAAATCTAGTGAAACAAACAAAATAACGTCAATATCATTTTTTTTATGATTTTTACGCATGTTTGGACAACATTTTGCAAAATAAATGAACCTCGGGTTCAAAAAGGAAGTAGGTAATTCGAGGAAGTACCTAATTCGATTTTCCTTTGCTTTTATCTCAAAAACACTTGAAAATGGCAAATATAGGGCCGTTTTTAGTCAAATTGGTTGAATTTTTGGCTTGTTTTTAACGAAATTTTGCATAATTGTATTTCTAACTGAAAAAACATTCAAAAAAACACAAAAATAAATTGTCATTTTAGACCTTGTTTAGTGATGTTGCTGTCATTTTGACGTTTTCAAATGTCAAATTTGACGTTAAAGCTTACTTCACATTGAATTTTCAGAAAGCGTTAAGAATTCATGTCCATTTTTTGCACTTTCCTCTTAGTGTACAAAAAAATTGAATTTTTGGCTTGATTTTCGCGAAATTATGTTTCTATCTGAATCGAAAGACAAAAATAGTCATTTTCGACTTTGTTTCGTTGCTGTTCCAGTCATTTTGACATTTTCAAATATCAAATTTGACGTTGAAGCCTACTTCACATTGAATTTTCAGAAAGCGTCAAAAATTTCATGTCCATTTTTTGCACTTTCCTTTCAGTGTAAAAAAAATGTTGAATTTTTGGCTAGTTTTTCACGAAATTTTGCAAAATTGTATTTCTATCTGAATCGAAAAAAACAAAAATAGTCATTTTCGACCTTGTTTCGTTGCTGTTCCTGTCATTTTGACGTTTTCAAATGTCAAATTTGACGTTAAGGCCTACTTCACATTGAATTTTCAGAATATGTCAAAAATTCATGTCCATTTTTTGCACTTTCCTCTTAGTGTACAAAAAAATTGAATTTTTGGCTTGTTTTTCGCGAAATTGTGTTCTAGCTGAATCGAAAGACAAAAAGTCATTTTCGACCTTGTTTCGTTGCTGTTCCTGTCACTTTGACATTTTCAAATGTCAAATTTGACGTTAAAGCCTACTTCACATTGAATTAWCAGTGTCAAAACTTTCATGTAAAAAATTAAGTGATCAAGTCTTATTTATTAAAAATATACAACAGAACAGAATATAATTTCAGTCGGAAGGAAAACCCCAAACTTTCAAACTCCCAGCATCCCGTTTCCGGTCATAGGCGTCTTTATCGTCACAAGCATATGCCAAAAAYTACATAGAKGGGTGCCAAGCCACTGTAAAAGTGGCCGCTTCCACTGAAATATCGGCAATTTTATCACCCGTTTCAACAAAACCAATATCAATGATTAAATCCTCTGACGCTGAAGCCAACAATTGACCATCATAACTAAACGAAATAGTCCTCACGGGCCAATCCATTCTACAATAAAAAAAATCAAACAAAAACATTAAAAAAAAAATCCTCCACCTTGTAAACACCCTCTGACACGCCAACTCATTAATATCCCACAAGGAAACCAAAGCATCAGCACTCCCAGTCGCAAAATACTTCCCAGTGGGGTCAAACTCAATACAAATACAAGTCCCTGGATGCGCCTTCAAAATATGCTGTCTTTTCAGCTCAGGATAACTCAAAATATGGACACAACCTTGRCCATTTGTCAAAAAAAACAAGTCGCTTGTGTTATTCCACGAGATCTCATTCACCTCAAAATTGAACTGTTCCTCAGCCTCAATTTTATGACTTCTCGCGTCGATAAAAGTCACCAAATCCTCTTTATTCCCCACTGCGATTGCATTGCCGTTTGGGGACCACGTAATGTTGATATTCTCCCCTTTTGTGTTGATTGTTGCAACGCATTTCTGGATTCGAGTGTCCCAAATTCGAACAGATTTGTCACCACTTGCTGTACTTAGTAAGTCGGGATGGGATTGGTGCCAACATAACTGGTCTACTGAGCCCCCATGGCCCTTAAAAGTTATTTCCTTGTTCTGGAAAATACTCAATTCAATTTGAGTTTTTTGCGTGCAAGGTTGGTACCCCTACCAAACGGTCCCTGTCCAAGGTGTAGATACAYACGGATTTATCGAACGAACCCGAAGCCAGACGTTTACCATCGCAGCTCCAACCCACTGAATGCACTTTGGAAGAGTGCCCCGAGTACTCTTTTATTTTGCAATGGGTTTTGAAGTAGTTTTGGAGTTCTTCGATCTTGTCTTGATACATTTTTCACTTTTAATGAACAAAAACCATTGCAAATACACAAATCTGGACCTAAAAATGGTTTTAAATGAGTACAATTACCGGTGATAACATAACATAACCTCAAAACTAAAACTGTTACTTGTTAGACAACCAACTATACACCCATTATTTAATGAGGATATTTTAYAGTGGAGTAAAAGACAAAAATACAAAAGTAAAAGTAAAGCAGTGGCGAAACAAAGTAAAATTAGAGTAACACTATTTTCACTTAATTTTTTTTTTGCATTTATAGCCGCTTAAAGCAAAATTAAAATTTATTTACACTCAAATTAAAAAAAGTGGTCGTCAATGTCACATTTTAGATCAAACTAATATTCCWGTGTAAATACGCGTAACAAAAAATTTGATAATTTGTCATCAAATCAATTTTCTTATTAAAATGTAAATTTGTAATAATATTTATAATGTATATAGAGTGTAACAAAAAAGTGGGGACCAAAATTTATTTATTCTTTCTATTTAATCCGATTTATCTCTATATCAAGTTGCACCAATTAAAAATTAAAGAACGCCAARGAAATTATGTTTTTTTTGTTTAAAAACTGAAACAATAATAAAAAAAATTGACATCTCGGTAGGCTTTGAGAGTGTAAACCAGGCTTTATTTTCAGTTCCACTAAAAGTTCAGTCATTAGAAAAAGAAATAACATTTCAGTTGAATTCTGTATGACAAAATAACATAACCTATTTTTCAAAAAAAATGTGGGAAATYTGAGAATAAAAAAGATCAAGCACAAAAACCACTGAAAAACATGACGTATCTTTCAGTGGGTGCAATCGTACAAAAATAAACAATCTAGAACTCTCAAATTTGAATTTCCATGACCTACCGGGATGTCAATAATTTTGGATCGCTCTATARTTAAAGTATTTTCTATTCTAAAACCAAGGCCGATACAAAAAAAAATAGGAATACAAAAAACTGTTTAAAAATAATTCGAATAGAAAAATAATTACGCCACCTGAACTACGTATAAGAAAACTATGACTTAAAATGTGTTAAATTGTTAATAAGTAAATACTTTACAATAATATTAAAACAAAAAAAAATAGCACCAAAACATGTAATTTAGATATCAAACTGTCGTACCAGAAACTATTAATTTTTTTTTATTGAGCTTTAAATTTTTTCTTTTTATAGTCCTTTTGCAAATATCACAAAAATAAAGCAAATCTGCACGTCACTGCTTTAAGTCAACTTTAAAAACCTCCCTATCTCAAGATTGGACTCGCCCAAGTGTGTCCTTTTGGTTTTTACCCCACTCTAATATCTAATTTATTCCATTACGAAAAAACAAACGATTAATTGTTGTTTTAAATTGTTAAATAAAAAATAGGTCAAAACCTTTCTATGTGGATTTAAATTTGTTCAATATTGTCAAAAATTTAGGTACCTTTTACATAAATCTCCCAAAAAAAATAAATTTTCTGTTCAAAAACTTGTTACAACGCCCAAAAAAGCAAAAAAAAACACCCTTTTTAACCTAATTATCTAATTTTTCGGTTTGTTTTTATTATTTTGCGGAATTTTTGAACTTGAACGAAAAAAATCACCTATCATGAAAATCACCAAATCCTGTGATTATTACGCAACCAACATTACACCTGTTTTTTTAATAAAATAAAAAACGTTTTTGAAGGCGTTTTAAATATCTAATTAAAACAAACGATGATTTGTTGTTGAGAAATGTTAATAATTACTTAAAATAAACTAGGAATTATGTATGTGGATTTACATTTATCCAATACTGTCAAGGATTTACGTACTTTTTACATAAATTTTCCGAAATAATATATTTTCTACTCAAAAACGTAATTCAGTGCTCAACAAAATAAAAAAACACCCTATTTTGACCTAATTATGTAATTTTTCGGCTTGTTTTTGTAATTTTGTAGAATTTTTGCACTTTTAACGAAAAAAAATCACCAGACCGTCATGAAAATCATCAAATCGGGGTCATTATTAGGCAACCAACATTACAACTGTTTTTTTTTTAATAAAATAAAAAACGTTTTTGAAGGCGTTTTAAATATTTAATTAAAACAAACGATGATTTGTTGTTGAGAAATGTTAATAATTACTTAAAATAAACTAGAAACTGTGTATGTGGACGAAAAAATTCAAATAAATGCATTAAAAATTTTGGTTTTAAGCACGACAAATTATTAATGAATACTATTAGCATAATTTCGTTTAGAATTATGCGCATTTTCCCAGGAAACTGTGGTTCCTTTCACCGTTTTATCAGATGAACGGTTTCCGCCCTATCAAAAACGTGTCAAGTACTATTGTTCAAACAATTTTGTTTAAAAAAAATGGAAGAATTCATCGAAAAACCCTCTTGTCAGATTTTATATCGACAATCTTCACTAGAAACGCGATTATCTCCTGTCCACTTATCCGAAGAATCATCTGAATCAAGTGATGAAGAAGTGAAAAATGTTAATTCGTTACCGAGAATAGTTGAGGCTAAACTGAAACCCCCTGTAGAAGAACAAAATGAAGAAATCGAAGAGGAAGTCAGTAAAAGCGAGGACGATAAATTAACAGCAGTATATTTAATGAAACGTAAGTTCACAACTTAACATTAATTAAAACAAAACACATAAAAATTTAATCAGATTGCATGAGTGTATTTTCCACGTCTGTTAAGACCCATTGGTGGTCAACAATTTCCAAAGCTTCCCATTCCGCTTTAAAGGGCACTTTGGGGTCATTGGGCATGGCCATGGCAGCCCCCGACATCTGATCCTGCATCTGCTTGCTCTGATCCGCCGCATTATTCTCCCCCAAAACCAAAGCATAAATGCTCCTCAACCCAAAAACGTTCAAAAAGTACCAAGAAGCCGACGAAACCCATGAGGCGTCCAAATGGGACAACTCAATTCCTCTTTGCAACATTGACTTGAACCTCAAAGTCAGCGGAAACGGTACTTTGGTCGTAATAAACCCCGAAAACATCCAATTTATCCAACCCCCAATTATAATCATTGGTAAAACATTAGTCAAATTCCCTTTCAACATATCCGTCATCATTGAGGGGTCCGTCATGAGGTTCTGCGCCACTGGGGGCCGCTTCTGCATCAAATAACCCTCCTCTTCTCTGTTAAATGCGTGTTTTCGCACCAGAAACGAACTTTTCGGTATATATTTGGCATTTTCACGCAAAACTCGGGCCCGGAGGATCAATTGGCTGTCTTGCAATTGCTGAATTTCAACCTTCTTCTGACTTGACAAAAGGATAGATATGTAATGACGCAATATTCCGACKAGAAATGTGATCACCACAATGGGCAAAAACACCCAAAACCGAATTTGTGGGTCAACTATTAAATCCGTGGTCATTTTTATTTTTTGACACTTGACACGCAGTGTCGCCACRACAACCMCAGTGAAGTTAGTCAGATTTATATTGAAATTACAGTCGACCAAAAATTTGCTGCTCGCGTCGCGTTGTGGCATTTCCCCCACCACTCTCGTCTCGTCACGTCAGGTTCACACTCGAAAAATTATTGGAATATTATTAAGATAAATCATAATATTTATTTTACAAAACATGGAAAAATAAGCATTTTGAATTACAAATGACTATTGTAGATAATTTTTTGACGTTTTCAATGTAATTCTGTCATGAATAACAAGTTCAATTAATTATATTGTTGCAACTGTGCGATTCAAGGTCAAATGTATTTCACTTATGCATTGTGAACTTTATTTTTTTCAAGTGTCATCCCGTGTATCGATTTTTTTCATTTTTGCAGAAAATGAAGCTTATTAAAGGATCATTACAGCCCTAAAAAGCCATTGTAACCCCACCATTTTTTAATGGTCAAATGCCCTTTTAGTAAGCTTCATTTTTTACAAAAATGAAAAAAATCAATACACGGGATGACACTTGAAAAAAATAAAGTTTGTATTATAAACAAATTTTGAGAAAACGAAAAAAATTCATTACASCCCTAAAAAGCCATTGTAATCCCARCATTTTTTDATGGTCAAATGCCCTTTTAGTAAGCTTCATTTTCTACAAAAATGAAAAAAATCAATACACGGGATGACACTTGAAAAAAATAAAGTTTGTATTATAAACAAATTTTGAGAAAACGAAAAAAATTCATTACACCCCTAAAAAGCCATTGTAATCCCATCATTTTTTCATGGTCAAATGCCCTTCTAGTAAGCTTCATTTTCTACAAAAATGAAAAAAATCAATACCCGGGATGACACTTGAAAAAAATTAAGTTTGTATTATAAACAAATTTTGAGAAAACGAAAAAAATTCATTACACCCCTAAAAAGCCACAATTTTTTTATGGTCAAATGCAAAATGCAAAAAATCGATAGACAGGATGACACACAAAGTTAACAATGCATAAGTGAAATACATTTGACCTTGAATCGCACAGGTGCAACAATATAATTAATTGAAATTGTTATTCATGACAGAATTACATTGACAACGTCAAAAAACTATCTACAATAGTCATTTGCAATTGAAAATGCTAATTTTTCCATGTTTTGTAAAATATTATGCTTTATTTTAATAACATTCCAATAATTTTTTGAGTGTGAACCTGGCTGCACGAAATGAAAATGGTGGCAATTTTGGTCGACTGTAATTTTTATCTTGCCAGCAAAATTTTTATTGCTACCTTCACCAAGGTGCCACCACAATAAAACACAATTCACTAGATTTGAGTTTTAAACTTGTCGAATTTAATTAATTAAGTGATTAAATACTGTCACAAATTACGTTTTTTACAGAAAATGAGTAATTAAAAGAGTGTGAGAATGTGATAAAACACTAATTAATTTCAGTCATGACGCCAACACCAAGAAAGGAAATTCCCCAAAGTGAAACCAAAATGGCYACGCTTCGCCCGAAATCGCCCAGACRTGTGGGCCRCAAAACCGACAAAGAAGAGACAATTTGGGACAAACTTGGTACACTTGGACGTAAAAAACGCATCAAAGAAGGTAAAATTTTGGTTTAAAATGACAATCATGGGTGTTTTGCCCCATTACCTAATATGGTTATGTCAAGGAGTGGTGTCCTAATTTAGTTTTTTTAGTGCAAGAGGTCCAAGCTGAGGGCAAGTACGCAATTGACTCCCCCGGTCACCCCACAAACCCCATTACCCCGCCCGAAGACTACGATTTGGGTCAGTACCCCCGTAAAAAGCCCCCTTTGTTTACATAACATTGCAGAGGACAACGAGGAGCGCTGCATGATCGAGCCCCGCTCCTACGACGACCCCAAATTCCGAGAACTCTCCCAAGTGCTAATCGATTGGATCAATGACGAGTTAGCCTCCCAGCGAATAATCGTTCAAGACTTAGCCGAGGACTTGTATGACGGCCAAGTCTTGCAAAAACTCCTCGAGAAGCTCACAAACGACAAACTCGACGTGCCTGAAGTCACRCAATCGGAAGAAGGCCAAAAACAGAAACTCTCCGTGGTTTTGGCCCATTTCAACCAAGTTTTGGGGGTACAACGTTTGGGGCACAAGAAATGGAGTGTGGAGGCCATCCATTCGAAGAACATCGTCCCCATTTTGCATTTATTGGTGGCTTTGGCGCGCCATTTCAGACCACCAGTGCGCCTCCCTGAACATGTCTCAGTCACAGTGGTAGTGGTGCAGAAAGTAGGGGGGCAATTGAGTCACAGGATTGTCAAAGAGAGCATCACCACGGCGTATGATGATGTGGGGATGAGGTGTGAGAGGGACGCTTTTGATACCTTATTCGACCACGCCCCCGATAAATTACAAGTTGTCAAAAAGGTGATAATTTTTTTTTTTGGTCTTGAGTAATATTGAGTTTCAGAGTTTGGTAACTTTTGTCAACAAACACTTGAATAAAATCAATTTGGAAGTGAGTGATCTTGAGACTCAATTCCATGATGGYGTCTATTTGATTATGTTAATGGGGCTTTTGGAGGGGTTTTTTGTGCCTTTGTACAGTTTTTATCCCACACCGAGGGATTTTGAACAAAAAGTTCACAATGTTTCGTTTGCTTTTGAACTCATGGAAGAAGTTGGCTTAAAAAGACCAAAAGCACGGCCTGAAGGTTGGTATTACTGATTTTTTTATTTTTCAAACTGATTTTGTTTCAGATGTTGTCAATTCGGATCTTAAGTCAACATTGAGAGTCCTTTACAATCTTTTTACAAAATACAAAAATATTGTTTAGGTTTTGAGGAAAATAGAGTGCCTTTGAAGTGTCTTAATCAGATCTAAGTGTGCTTTAGCWTGCCTTCGTTTTCATATTAATGTGCATCAAAGTAGRCGTTWAAGTTGGCAACCATGCGAAAATTCAAACAATTCTAACCTCACTTTTCGAAAAATTATTTTTTCAAATAAATGTAGCAAAAAATAATGAAAATTAACAAACTTAAAGGTTTAATGACACTTCCTGTGTGAATGGGCCTTTAAATTAAAGATGCATTTAGACTTCCACAACCTACTTGATGCACATTAAAATGAAAGAGAATATATTTAGAGAGGAGTATTAACGTGTATTTATCCACACTAATGTAAATAACTTATTTTAGTTTTTATATTCATTAAACCAAGTAATTATTTGAATAATGATGTAACATTTTTACAAAATTCGTTTGTTTTTTCCCTTTTTTCTAGGTAACAAGAGAAATAGAGATCTTTGATTACTTGAAGTGGCTTTTTTCTCTCCCCACTCGCAGTGGTGCCACAACAAACTAATAAAAAAACCTTGTCGTTGTTTCTAGTTGCACAAACAGCTGCACTATCTAGTAAACTAGTGGTGATTAAAGCTGCCTGCAGGGGGTTGTAGTCTGGGGTTGAAAAACTGCAATAATGTTCGAAACCCGTGATAATTATAACGTTTGGGACTTTACGCCAAAGATGAATTCCATTGATTTGTGTGAGCAAATCAGTGTGATCTTTTAGATACCTAACACATGAAATAAAATAAAGAAATTGTGTGCTTTTTACTTACAGAAATGTTATCAAGCGTAGAACCTCCTTATCCGGCGTTTTCACGTTTTTTGGGGCCTTGTCGAAGGCTTGGGGTGAGATGAGCCAGACATAAAGACCATTTTCTGCAAAAGAAATTGCAACCTATTTTTTGTGTAAAATTAAATTAAAGTGGATAATTGGCTTGCCTGGAACAAGTCTGAATCGAAATTTTCACCGACTGCAAGAGTCGAAATCACTTTTTCAGGTTGCATGGAACAGTTTTGAAAATAATTGAGGTTAGAAAACCCGATCACGTGACACAGTCTCGAATTTGATTGGGTGGAAAAGGCGCCATATTTAAATAAAAATAAGGGTTAAAAAATAACTAGGATGAAAACATTTATTAAAGTTCATTATCTGAGACATCGCTTTCGCTGTCTCCCTTTGTTTTATTTCTTTCCTTCAAGTAGACTTCGTACTGTTCTGGGATTGCTTTAAATCGTTTTATTTTCGCACGAATTTGCTTCCAAGTCTCTTGGTAATAATTTTTCCTGTCTTTCGCCATTGCTTTGTAATCTTTTCCGTATTTATCCATGAGGTAGGTAACCCATTCGACTTGACTTTTGGGAAGTCGAAACAACTTAACTCTTGGGGCTCTAGCATCGTCTTCCAAAGCCTCAACTACGTGAGATTTTGTAGGTTTTGTTTCCACTTCTTCCTCTTCCCAATCATCATTGTTAGATGTGATTGAAAGTTTCACTTTCTGTTTGTTACTAGGAATTTTAAGTGTCGCATTTGGGTCATAGGAAAGACCCATTTCTTCTAAATTAGTCTTAACTGATTTACGCTTGTCCCAAGCTTCTTTAATCTCTTTGCTGGAATTTCATGGTTGAGAATTTTTGGGTACGACAATTAGACCTACCATGAAATTTTTCCTACGCTTTCTATTTTATTTCGTAGTCTTTTTCGATTCACGTTGTGACGATACACTTTTCTTCTTCGCTGTTTTCGTAATTTGGTCATATTTTGTTTTGCTTTTAAAACAGAAAAGTTCTAACCTCACTAACACGTGTTTCGAACGAACAGAGACCTATTGATAGTAGATAAAAACGACGGTATATTTGAACTACACTTAAAAACTTTAAAATTGAAAAACAATGAAAATAAACTAAAACAACTGAAAGATTATGAATTTTTGCAGTATAAAACATTATTTGTAATTTAGTGTTTTGTTAAACATATCGTATACTTCAGAATTTAGTGTTTTACTCCAATAAAAATTTTGCTGTACTAATTTTTACAAGCTAATCAATAATTTTAGGTGTAATGATTACGTGTTAGTAATGACAATAATCGCGCTTAATATTTATCAACTGGTGATTTATCGTGAACGTACCCAATATTAAGTGTTTTTAATTCTGTAGTGTTGGCAATTGTTATGTTATCCATATGCCGTGACCACGTGCGTGATCTTTAACCTCACTTATTAATAAATGTTATATGAATTGTGATTTGAAAACATCAGAAAAATTATGTTAAACCCAAATTTGAGCTCAATGAAAGTCGACGTGGAGGAGGAAAGGTAATGATTATTCTACTTAATGGAAAAAAGATGGACTCTCAAACAATACAAATAACTGAAAAAGTTTCGGATATGACTTGTTTTGCTAAACGAAGTCTTAAATAATAAATGAAATAAAGTAGCCCCCAGTTAACCTTACTTTTTTCAGATTTGACGGATTAAAACTGTATTACGGATGCAAGCAATGCTCATTCAAGACGAAACTCTTATCCAGGATAAGAACCCACGCAAGAATTCACGAAAACAGTGAAGAAAAATTTAATTGTTCAAGTGGTGGCCTTGAAAATTACYAGTGTCACAAATGCGAAACATTTGAAACACGATTCCTGTCACAACTAAGATGTCACATTGTTCAACACAATGATAATTTGAAAGAACAGAATATCACAAAACACACTAAAACTTCCTTTCGGTTTCGGTGTAAACTTTGTGATTATGAAGCGAAAACAAGATACACTTTGCAACAACACAATATCACAAAACACACTATAACTCCCTTTCGGTGTAAACTCTGTGATTACGAGGCGACAACAAGATACATTTTGCAACAACACAATATCACAAAACACACTAAAACTCCCTTTTGCTGTAAACTTTGTGATTATAAGGCAAAAACAAAATACACTTTGGAACAACACAATATCACAAAACACAGMAAGACACCTTTTCAGTGTAAATTTTGTGATTACAAGYCGAAAACAAAATACATTTTGCAACAACACAATATCACAAAACACACTAAAACTCCCTTTTGCTGTAAACTTTGTGATTATAAAGCGAAAACAAGATACACTTTGCAACAACACAATATCACAAAACACACTAAAACTCCTTTTCGATGTGAACTTTGTGATTACGAGGCGAAAACAAGATACACTTTGCAACAACACAATATCACAAAACACAGTAAGACACCTTTTCAGTGTAAAATTTGTGATTATAAACCGAAAACAAGATACATTTTGAAACAACACATGGATAAACAACACAACGGCTCCTGAGGATTGGTTTCACTGTGYCCCATTGTAGTTACAAAACTAAAAATAAAAATTCACTAGTTCAGCATTTAAAAATACAACATAATGGCAAACTTTAGTAATTGCATTGTAATTTTAAATGTAAAACTAAATCTCGTTTCAAAGCACACGTCGGTGTGTGACATTTATTATSTATTTCTAATGTCAATTTAAGGCGGAATTTAAAACAATCAAATATACATATATACAAATATAGTTTTTCAAGTACAAATTTATTTTCTTTAATCAAACACCCTATACTTATGTCTTAAAGTTGCTTAATCTAACAGAAAAAATATTGTGAAAAGTGACAGAATAGGCAAGTGAAATGGCACGACACATGTTTGAAATACCAAAAGGGTAAAAAATAACAATTACAAGCCTTGTCGGTAACAATCGCCTGATTTCTTTCTAAATTTGTGAACGTACCCAATCAGGATTTTTAATTCTGTGGTATTGGCGATTGTTGTGTCATTCTAACCTCATTTATTTGTTGTGATTTAGAAATAAAACACCACAAAAGTCATGTTTTCCACAAATTTGAGCCCAATTAAGGTCGAAGTGAAGGAGGAAAGGTAATGATTTTTAAACAAAGTCTGAAATAAATAATAATTTTCATGATAATTTGTAATCGAGTCATCRTTGCATCCGAGAACGTATGTCTGTTTTTACGTGAAACATCAAATAAAATGACAGGTCACAAGGTAAAATGACAAAATGGACGTATAATAATACAAGTAGGACCGTTCTGTTTTGAAGCTAATTTATAAATTTAGTTATTATAATCATCACATTTTACCCTTCGACTTGTCATTTTACTCGACATACGTTTCCAGATCCACAGATGACTCGATCGATAACTCCTTAACCCTACTTTTTTCCAGATTTGAGGCATTGAGACTGTATCACGGATGCGAGAAATGCTCATTCAAGACAAAACTCTTATCCAGGTTAAGAAGCCATGCAAGAATTCACGAAAACAGGAAACAACAAATGAATTGTTCAAGTGGTGACCTTGAAAATTACAAATGTCACAAATGCAAAACATTTGAAACACAYTTCTTGTCACAACTGAGATGTCACATTGTTCAAGGTCACACATCACAYCATGTCGAATCCATAACCTACAAGTGTCTCAAGTGTGATTTCAAATCGTTCTCGCAATTACTAATTTTGAGACATTCTGTTTTTACCCACCAGCGACGAAGAAAACGGGAAAAGGGGGACATTCTCAAATGTACAGATTGTGATTTCAAAACAATGTATGTACGCAATTTGAAAGCACATTTGATCAATAGACATACAGATGATTCTGAGATCCAATGGTTCAAATGTGATCATTGTTCATATAAGAGCAAATTTAATAGAGATTTGAAACGTCACAAGATCTTAATACATGACCCCAACTTCCGCTATTCGTGTAAACTTTGTGATTACAAGACTAAAATGAATTTCCTTTTGCAGCGACACGTGAATTCACGTCACAACACCGAAATTGGTGATTCATTGGTTTCTAGATCTGGTGTCTACAAATGTAAGCATTGTGATCACAAAACAATGTATTTCAGTAATTTGAGGGCACATATGATATATAGACATCTGGACGATTCCGAGATCAAGTGGTTCAAATGTGAAAAGTGTCAATTCAAGGCCAAACACAAGGGTAATTTAAAACAACACATTTTTCTAAAACATGACTCTAACTTCCGCTACTCGTGTAAACTTTGTGATTACAAGGCTAAACTGAGTTCACATTTAAAACGTCACATGAATGGACGACACAAAGCCAAAAATTGTGATTCATTGGCTGGGGAACATGACATTTGCACCGAATATCTAAGAAATGAATTAGGAGAGAAGGGAGCTCACAAATGTACAAATTGTGATTATGAAACTAAAAGCTTGTCCAGTTTTAGAAAACATGTGGTTTCTGGACATTTGGACGATTCTGAGATCCAGTGGTTCAAATGTGAAAATTGTCAATTTATGACCAAACACAGGAGTAATTTGAAACGTCACATTATCGCAAAACATTCTAACACTCTTTTTCGGTGTAAATTTTGTGATTATGAGTCGAAAACAAGATACGCTTTGAAACAACACGTGGATAAACAACATACGGCTCCTGGTGCCCATTGTAGTTACAAAACTAAAAATAAAAAGTCATTGGTTCAACATTTAAAATTAGAGTATGATAATGGCAAACTTTAGTTGTACTGTAATCATTGTGATTAATATTAAATACAATTTTTAATAAGTGTATTTTTTTTAATTAGATGATATTGTCTCCTCCAAAAAAATGACATTCTAGGCGAAATAACACCACACACAATAGGTCAATTTTCTTGTACTTTCTGTAGTTTTTTTTTATTTAAATCCGTAATGAGTCTTTAAATTAATTAAAAAAATTGATTATTCTCGAGTATTTTCTATTTCCTTAAATTGTTTGAGAAATATCTAAGAACTCTGGTCCTTTTTTTCTCAATTTCAAAAATAAAAGTTATGTCTGCAGAAATACACGCCCTATGCAACTTAAAATAAAAACAAGATCAAGTAAATTTGTGAACGTACCCAATCTTAATTATTTTTTAACTCTCTGTTGGCAATTGTTACGTTTACTTAACCTCATTTATTGTTTCAACTTGTTTCTGTGATTTCAAAAGAGAACCCAAGCATTAAATTCTCAATAATAAGTGCAAAAATATTTTTGAAAATGCTGCGAATACGCAAGTTAGTTACAAAACTAAAAATAAAAAATCATTGGTTAAACATTTAAAATTAGAACATAATTATTGCGAACTTTAGTGATTGCATTGTAATCATTGGGATTTTAAATGTTTTATTAAATTAGTTAAAAATATTAAATACAATTTAATTTTTCGAAAAAATTAAAAGGTATTGTTGATTTACCCTTTAATCCGGATCCTTGTAGCACATGGTCTCCATTCCTCCGAAGACTCCTCCCATTGGCACTCACTAAAGCACCTGAAATTTAAAAAATCGCGTACTAATATCTATTAGCACTCGAAAACACACAACATGCTCTCACTGGTCGCTGAACAACTGGACAAAAATTTCAGCCTCAAATTACATGTTGATTGAGAAAATTTTTCCTTTAAATGGCTACGACTTTGTTTTTTCTAGAACAATTTCATTGCCTTTCTGAAAATAAATTTTCTTGATCACTAAATGCATTCAAAAATCAAGTATTTAGTCACTTCAGTTGTGACGCCAGTGAAACATTCTTTTTTATAGTCAATTTATTAATCTACGCTATGTTTGTCGTACCAAGAACTAAAAAAAATATCTTAACTATTTTTTTTTTCACAAAAAAGGTCTTAAAATTATGTGAATGACCATAAACAGCATTCAAATTTAAATTCTTTTTACCTTACTTATATCCTTTTAGTTTAACGCTTCTGAATTAAAATTTGATCTTTAATGTCGTTTAGGTGTATAAAGCTGTACTAAATTTTGTATTTTTTTCTCTAATGTTTAACACCCTGTAATTGTTTTGGTTTAGTAAAGTTTTTGACTTCATTTTCTGTTTCCAACATGGCGCTTACTTCAAAAATCTTTATAATTAACTATACTTTTTGGAGGTTAAAATAATAGTTGTCGATTTCTGAGAAATCTGATAACCAAGCAACCAAATGTAAGTTATATGATGTACTCTTGAGTGCAAAAAAAACGCAAATTGTCAAAAACAAAATTTTTCAGAAATTTACAGTGTGAAAAAGGTTGGGAAAAAGTTTASAAAACTATCAAAAGAAATGTATTTAGTGGTCTTGCCAGTGCAGTGTCATAGTCAGTATTAAAAACAAAATAGAAAAACTGGATAGAAGTTTGGAAGATGCCTGACAATTATACCTCAAAAAACTGGTATTTATTAACAGGCCAAATAACATTATAAAAAAAAAACAATTTGCATTTTTCTACACTCAAGTGGAAGCATAAGCATCTTTTTATGAATATAGATTCAAGTATTAACTATTAGATTGAACTGACTGATACTTTTAACAAAATACTAATACTTATCTTCTTACAAATAGATACAATACTAATTTTTATGAATATCACCCAATATCAAGAATAAAGTGAGTTTTTRTAAAGTGTATCTAAAGTTGGRAGCCCCTAGTCCTCCACTTCTAGTGTATGGGGTGTGTCTGTGTTGGCAGTAGAAGTAACTAAATTGTGTCAAAATTGTGACAGGCGCAGTAGATTTTATATTTGAATTTTTTTGATAGATATATCCCTAAAAAAACAATTGGATGTTTAAAGTCGGATTTACACAACTCACTTTTTACAAATTTACACAGAGAAGTGGCCACTATGAATTGACCGCGACTTTAAATTTGTGAACGCACCCAATGTGAAGTATTTTTTTAATTCTGTGGTGTTTGCAATTGTTTTGTTATTTTTAACCTCATTTTAATTCTTGTGATCAGAAAAGAATACACAAAAAATCTCTCTTGTTGTATGGTTGGCAATTGTTATGTTATCCTTAACATAATTTTATTGATTTGCTAAAAATGAAATACTAGAAAAATTATGTTTTCCACAAATTTGAATCCAATTAAAGTAGAAGAGGAGGAAGAAAGGTAACTCTTATAGTAGTAATTTTAATTGCGTAACAAATCTTTCGAAAGTAGCCTCCAGTTAACCTCACTTTTTTCCAGATTTGACAGATTAAGACTGTATTACGGATGCGAGAAATGCTCATTCAAGACAAAACTCTTGTCCAGGATAAGAACCCACGAAAACAGCGAACAAAAATTTAATTGTTCCAGTGGTGACCTTGAAAATTACAAATGTCACAAATGCAAAACATTTGAAACACAATTCTTGTCACAACTGAGATGGCACATTGTTCAAGGTCATACATCACAACATGTCGAACCTAAAAGCTTCAAATGTCTCAAATGTGATTTCAACTCGTTTTCGCAATTGTTGCTTTTGAGACATTCCATTTGTACCAAACATAAAAGAAGGAAACGAGGAAAAAGAGGCGTTTTCAGATGTACAGATTGTGGTTACAAAACTATAGTTTTAAACAAATTGAGAAGACATGTGATTTGTAGACATACAGCTGATTCCGAAATTCAATGGTTCAAATGTAAACATTGTTCGTACAAATGTAAACTTAAGGAGAATTTGAGACATCACATGATCGTAAAACACGAGTCGCCTGACTTACGCCCCGTCATCAAATGTAAACATTGTGATTACAAAACTATGTATTTAAGCAATTTGAGGGCACATGTGATCTATAGACATACCAACGATTCCGAAATCCAGTGGTTCAAATGTGAATATTGTTCATTTAAGGGCAAAATTAAGGGAAATTTGAGACAACACATGATCCAAAAACACGAAAATAACTTCCCCTACTCGTGTGAACTTTGTGATTACAAGGCTAAACAGAAGGCTCATTTGCAACAACACCTGAATACACGACACAAAACCAAAAGTAGTGAATCATTGCCTAAGGGAAATGTTATTTTCACCAAATATCTAAGAGAGAAACTAGGAGAGAAAGGAGCTTACAAATGCACAAAATGTGATTACGAAAGTGACAATTTGGCCAGTGTTAGAAGACATGTGATTTCTAAACATTTGGACGATTCAGAGATTCAGTGGTTCAAATGTGAATATTGTCAATTTAAGTCCAAACACAAGAGTAATTTGAATCAACACATTATCATACACACTAAGACGCCCTTTCGGTGTAAAGTTTGTGATTATGAGGCGAAAACAAGAAACATTTTGAAACAACACGTGAATAAACACCATACGTCTCCTGAGGACTGGTTTCACTGTGCCCATTGTGGTTACAAAACTAAAAGTAAAAAATCATTGGTTAAACATTTAAAAATGCAACATAGTAATGGCAAACTTTAGTGATTTCATTGTGATTTTAAATGTAAGACTAAATCTTGTTTAAAGCACTTGTTGGTGTGTGACATTTAATTATTTCCAATGCCAATTTAAGGCGGCCTTTAAGACCAATTTGAAATATATCGAGTGTTTGAAGTACAAACTTATCTTCTTTCATCAAACACCCTATATTTTTGTGCTATTCCACAGTGCGATCAAAAAGTTTTTCTTTAGAAATTTAGCGGATTTAAATGTTGGCATTGAAGTAGCTTATTAAAAATTCCGTGGCGCTGCGGTCCAATATTTTTTTAACCTTAATAAAATATCTATGGCAGTAAAACGGCATGAAGAGGTTACCTACTTCATTCTTATTTGCTGACCAATATTTATGCATTAGTTTGTTAAGTTTGAAAAAATAAAAACAATTTTTTTTTAATTGTAAAAAAATCAAGAAACGATACAGCTTAATTTAAAAAAATTAAACAAATATATTTTTTTGTTTATTAAAGATTTTTTCCTTAACTTACTCTTAATACAATTACTGAAAAATCCTATCCCAAATTTTAAGTATGAGCCTTATTTAATGTCGATGGTGGGCCTTATTTGGCACTTGGAGGTTCCAAAAAGGGCCCTTTGTATATTTTATGTTTATGTTAAAAACATGTAGAAAAATTAATATTTTTGTGGTACACATTGTTAAAAGTTCAAATTACAATTTGGAAATAAATCCAAACTTTTGCATACTTATTTCAAAAAATTAATAAAAAATCGTCAGAATTTAATGGACCTTACATACTTTTTCATCAAAATGAAAAAAAATTTTCAACTTTTTTTCCAATTTTGCAATTTTGCAAAAATTTTGTTTCTGAACATTGTCTAATCTTAATGAAAATAAGAAAAACTTTTTTTTTAATTTTTTTACAATTTCGCAATATTATTAGTTAAATTTCCAAAAAATTCGAAAACATTAAAAAAAAAATGTAATTCTTTTGTAGATCTTTGATTAATCGGTCCGAAAAAACAGTGATGGATTTAGTACTTTGGATATTGTGTTGCCAACATAAATACATGTAATTTTCCTAGCGCAAACCATTTGATTTTTTTTTAACTTTTGAGAGGAATTTAAAATTGGTTTAAAATAGTGTGTTGCCAACCGCACTTGCACTTGCAAAATGACACTTTCTGGCCTTGTAATACAAATTAATAACTATTGCCGTACTAGTTTTTCATGAATTCGATAGTTCAATGTGTAATCAAGAATAAAGTGATTTTTTCTAAATTTGTGAACGTACCCAACCTTATGTATTTTTTTTAATTCTGTAGTGTTGGCAATTGTTGTATTTAACCTCATTTAATTCTTATGGTCAAAAAAATATAACCAGAAAGTGATGTTTTCCACAAATTTGAGCCCAATAAAAGTGGAAGTGGAGGAGGAAATGTAAGGATTATTTGGAAAAAGGTCCACTCTCAAACAATGCATTTAACTGAAAAAAAGTGGTGGGGTGTGACTTGTTTTGATAAACAAAGTCTTAAATAGTAATTTTTATTTATCTTCTTGGCTCATCTTCCAAATGATATTTATGCCGTATCAAATGTTTCAAAGGTAGCCCACAATTAACCTCACTTTTTTCCAGATTTGACAGATTAAGACTGTATTACGGATGCGAGAAATGCTCATTCAAGACAAAACTCTTGTCCAGGATAAGAACCCACGCAAGAATTCACGAAAACACCGAACAAAAATTTAATTGTTTCAGTGGTGGCCTTGAAAATTACAAGTGTCACAAATGCAAAACATTTGAAACACAATTCTTGTCACAACTGAGATGTCACATTGTTCAAGGTCACACATCACAACATGTCGAACCCAAAACCTTCAAATGTCACAAATGTGATTTCAACTCGTTTTCGCAATTATTGGTTATGAGACATTCCTTTTTTACTAAACATCAAAGGAAGAGTGTTTTCAAATGTACAGACTGTGATTTTGAAACTAGGGTTTTAAGCAATTTGAGAAGACATGTGATGTGTAAACATACAGATGATTCCGCAATCCAGTGGTTCAAATGTAAACATTGTTCATATAAGTGTAAACTCAAGCATGATTTAAAACGTCACATGATCAAGAAACACGACCCGCCTAACTTCCCTTACTTGTGTGAACTTTGTGATTACAAGGCTAAACTGAATTACGACTTGCAACGACACGTGAATGCACGTCACAAACCCAAAAATAATAAAACATTGACTTCGAGCATTGTAAAATGTACATTTTGTGATTACAAAACTATGTATTCAGGGGACTTGAAAAAACATATGATCTTTAGACATACAAACGATTCCGAAATCCAATGGTTCAAATGTGATCATTGTTCATTTAAGTGCAAACTTAAGAGCGGTTTGAAACAACACATGATCCTAAAACACGACCCGCCTAATTTCCGCTACTCTTGTAAAATTTGTGATTACAAGACTAAACTAAATTCCAATTTAAAACGTCACGTGAATGCACGACACTAATTCTTTGTGACTTTAAAATTAATGTTGGTTTAGAACGTGAAATTTTTGTCAACAAGTCTAAACAACATTTAAGCCCCTTTAAATTTGATTATGAAACTGGCCCTAAATCTCTTTTGAAAGCACATGAAGTGACATTTAAGTAATCAATAATGTGTATTTAGTAATAAAAATAAATTTGTGAACGTACCCTACCTTAAGTATTTTTTAATTCTGTGGTGTTGGCAATTAATCTCATTTAATTCTTGTAAAACCAGAAAAGTGATGTTGTCAACACATTTACACTACAGAATTTCTAAGCATACGTGAATAAGCAACACACGAAATCAAAAAAATGAGTTGAAAATATTAAATTTAATAGGTGTAATTTTTCTAAAAATTAAAAGTTCTTGTTGACCGGATTATTGTCTTCTCCATTTCCCCTAAATGCACTCACTATAATCACTCGAAATTTGAAAAAGCGCGCACTACTGAATGTCTGTTAGCACCCGAAAATACACAACACGCACTCACTGGTTATCGAAGTTTCTGAAACAAAACAAAAATTAACTATGGAAAAAAATTAAATTCGTACAATATTTAGTCTTGTTCTTGCTGATGTTTCTCTAATAACATGAACAAAAAGTCCAAGTTCTTGGTTAAAATTATAAAAATAAATTTGCACTCGTCTACAAATTTTGAAAAAGAATTTATCTAAAACACAATTAATTTCTATTCATTATTTAATAAATACTTACTGTTGCACTCAAAAATCACAAATTCACACACTTTACTTGGCTATAAACAAAAAAATATATATATATAAAATGCACTGACCTTATAATGCATCTTCTTCTACTACCCATTGTAGCAATTTGTCTCTGCTTCTTAAACGGACCTACTGAAAATAAAGAAACACAAAATCAGTACAATGTGTCATTAAATTAGTTAAAAATATTAAATAAAATCTAAATAGTGTAAGATTTAAAAAAAATTGAAAGTTATTGTTGGCTTACCCTTTAATCCGGACCCTTGTAGCATGCTTATCTTTTTCACTCCCCCATTGGCACTCACTTATCACTCGAAATTTTAAAAATCGCGCACTACTAAATGTCTATTAGGCACTCGAAAATTCCCAACACGCACGCACTCATATACAGCCTCCATTTCAACACAATTTCGCCCTGAACCACCAAATAAGTAATAATTTATTCGGACAATTATTACAATTCAAGTAACTCGTACGGGAGCTTGGCTAAGACTGACTTATTATTGTAATATTTCTACAAAAACTTTTATTGTAACAGTTTTTTGCAAAAGGCCTTTGTTCGGGGCTGCATAATCCAGCTATTCCTAACGTCACAAAGCAATTCGAATATTACCCAATTACCAAAAAAATGTTATGTATTTAACTCGTTATTACACCACACACAATGCCGTTTTTTGTACTTGTACTTACTTTTTTGATATTTCTATTTAATGCCACAACAAGTCATTATTACTGAGTTTTTTAAGATTGTTTAAAGAATATTTAAGGCCCCCTTTTTTTCATAATTAAAAAAAAATAAGTCTGCAACCAGAAATACTCGCCTTGGAGATTCTTATGCAACTCAAAATACACTAACACTTTTCTAAATTTGTGAACATACCCACAAATGACATTTGTTGGAACAAGAAAAAATAAAAATTATTTATTAATATTTCGTCTTACAAAACCGTGCAATGAGTGAAGACCTGCAAAGAAAAATCCAGTCGGAACTGGACAGTTTTAAGAATACCCAAAAAGGTACAAAAACCCACATTTTTCCAACCTAACCCAACTTTTCRAGAATTACAAAAGGCAATTTCGACGAGACAACAATTAGATAGTCAGTTAAATGAGAATATTATTGTTAYAGATGAATTAGAAATCCTTCCTAAAGATGCRAAYGTGTACAAATCRGTCGGTCCAGTTCTTATCAAAACTGAACTTGTTGAAGCAAGACAAAATGTGGGCAAACGAATGGATTATATCAAAAAAGAGATTTCAAGAGTCGATGATTTGATCACATCTATTGAAAAGAAGCAAGATGTGCATCGGGAYGCTCTCCAAAAACTGCAACATCAGTTTCAACAAGCCCAAGTGAAAGCTGCATTGCATGCTTAATTTACYGATTTATATCTCACTTATTTATTAACAATTAAACTCGTGTTTTGTAATACAAATCAAAAATAAAAAACTCGTTAACTCAGTTATTTTTATTATCAAGGATTTGTTAATTATCCACTGTTTCGATTCAACCAAGCTACAATGTGTTCAGCTTTTCTAAGTCCAGTATACGTGACCGGATATCCGCCTTTAAACAGTCTCAAGGCGGGGAAACCCCCAATTTCCTGTTCCCGAACTAAAGCCTTCTCTACAGTCGCATCCACTTGTCCCAATTTAATTTCAGATTGTTGCTTTTTGTGAATCTTTCACACTTTTAAGTATTCGGGGGCGAAAGCCTTTAACTAAATAATAATTTTATGAAACGTTCAGATTTCAAGTTTAAAATTCGCGGTTTAAATGTCATTAAATACCAACATAAAAGATGATTGATCGAGAAATGTAAATATTGCGATAAAGTGTAAAAGCCGTGGTTTTTGTACTTAAATAGTGCGATTTTGTTCAACACTTTCGAATTTAAATAAATATTTCAGGTTTCAGACGGTGCAAAAACTTCCAACTCATTTCCAGTGACGTGGATGTGTTTTGTGAGGTTATGTCATAGACGTTTTAATTTAAAATAAATCGCCAAATTAAAATAGAAAATGTTTGAGGTCACAGATACTCAAAGTATGTTAAAATAATTGCAAAAAATGTCATTGTTTTCGTGTTTTTTACAGAAATTGGGGTTGGCCTTGCTGGCTTTGGGATGTTTTTCCTATTTTTGGGGGTTTTACTCCTCTTCGATAAGAGTTTATTAGCGTTAGGAAATGTGAGTAAATATTTGTATCCATGCATGAAAAAACCCACATTTTGTTGCAGATATTGTTTATTGCTGGTTTGGCATGTGTAATAGGCCTAGAACGAACGTTTCGATTCTTTTTCCAAAGGCACAAAATCAAAGCCTCAATCTCCTTTTTTGGTGGAATAATTATAGTGCTTGTAGGTTGGCCACTAGTTGGAATGCTTTTTGAAACTTATGGATTTGTTTTATTGTTTAGGTAAAGTGTCTTTGACTTTTTTGAGACTTTTAATGTAATAAAACACCATTTTAGTGGCTTTTTCCCAGTTGCCATCAACTTTCTCAGAAGAGTGCCCATTTTAGGAACATTTTTAAATTTCCCAGGAATTAGTAAGGTAATAATTTCAAAACGGTTTAATTTGGAATAATATCTCCAATTTTTCAGCTAGTTGATAAACTGGCTGGAGACTCCAACAGAACAACAGTCTGACTTGAAATAGACTTAATTTCAATCAAAATTGGTGAACGGTGCTGTGCCCCGTTTTGTAGGGGCCCAGATTTAATTTAATTACAAATCAATGTATTTCATTTGCAATATACTGTACAGATTTTTTATTTCCCAAATGTACAAATCGTTTTATCATCAAATAAATGACACATTTTTGATCTGGTTTTTTTATTTTATTTTATTTAGGTATTTGTCTTCTCTTGGGTTGGCACCCCGTTTGGAACCATTTTTGATTTTCAATAATTATTAATTATTGTGTCAACAATCAGGGACTTTAAAACAAATATTGTTTTAATATTATTAAATATGAACCATTTACAAGTGGATAAATAAAAAAAAAATGCAATTAATTATACACATTTCGGTTTGATCGACTTTCGGACCTGTCAACTAATCACATTCAGGCTCATTGCATTTGCATTAATAACTGTACAAATAATTTCATTGCCATAATAAATGATACACAGTTGATGTGTAATTTCTTATATTATTAAATCCACGTTAAAGTGTAAAATAGAATTTTCGGTAAACAGGTTTTTAATTTTTCTTAGGTTGGAGGGCGCTTGGAATCCATTTTTGATTTTGATGTTCAATTGTTATTAATTATTGTGTCGACAATCAGGTCCTTGAAAAAGTCGAAAAATGACCACTACACGCGTTAAAGGAAACGTAATTTCATTGGTAAGTGTTTAAAACATGTTTTTTTAAGCTTTGTAGTGTGTTTTGTTGCGTCATTTTGTTAAAACTTGTTCGTATTTGCCGCAAATGATAATGAAGTGTGTTGTTGGGGATGGGCGACAGGTGGCGCTATGTGACGATGCCAACTACCGGCGCGAAATTCAAAATTTAAAAAATTTAGTAATTGATATAAATGAATGGTTTTTAAAAAAATTAAATAAAATTAGACATTTCTACTAATTGTCTTCCGAATTAAACCCCCACAGGTAGAATTTATTTCAAAATAAATAGCAATTTTTCTTTCAGACTCTTACAAACAGCAACGTGGCTCAAGCCGTGAGGTCTTACACCATGTCCAAGAGATACATAAATATCATGCTGAAGGCGTCGGTAATAAACATTTTGTACCACCGTCTCAACATTGACGAAAAGGAGTTTATTACAAAGAGTTTCAACAACGTTAATTTCAAGTCGTTTAAATCCAAATCGAAGAATCGGTTTATTCGTGAGTTTCACGCTTACATGATTGCTTGTAAGGACGCTTTGGACAAGAATTACGTAAGTAACACGAAGGAAAAACCACGAAATTAATTTCTATTTTCTAGTTGAAGGAGTTTTATTTGTACTTTATCGACGTGTCTTCGGGCGATATCGTGGAAAATTATAAATTTTCCTTTAAATATGCTGAAAAAGATGAACGGAAACAAGTCCAAAGCGCTGATTTAACTGATTGTACTTGTGAATTACTGAAGACTTTGGAAGAGTTGGGACAACATGAGAAATTGAACAGGGAAATACAGTTCAAAGTTGAATTTTTGTACTACGAGGGTGAGTATAGTATTATATCGTTCGAAATTGTGTCTAATGTGCTGTTTTAGATACTCCTGAAGACTACGAACCCCCAGGTTTTCGCAATATTGACGAGAGTGAGGCTCTAATGAGTAAAATTAATAAAAAGGGGAATTCGGTCGTGATTGGATCGTTATTTACCGGGTTTCACCAACTTAAATGTAGGGGAAGAGGGGAAGTGGTGAGTGCAAACCACTGTTTGACTAAATATTAAGAGTAATTTGTTTTAGTTTAATTTTAATTTGACTCCGAAGAGTTTGGGGGAAAACGATTTTGAATTACATCTAGTTGATGAGAAAAACACTGAATCAAGTATGACTGTTGCTGTTGGTGAAATGACTGTATAAAAAACAATTTTTGTTTGTAAATTATTCCGATTGATAATATTTTAGGAGGACTTGTCGGAGCCCCTTGAAAATTCAAAGTTCGATAAACCAAATCCWGTAGATAATAGAATAAATGATACTTACATATCGCACATATCTGAGTGCATTGGTGCGTTATACCAATTTTTCTTAATTTTTTTATTTATTCAGTTTTAATTACCAGATATTTCGAGTGATGAGGAAACTCTAGTGAATTGTCCGTGTAATATACAAGTTTTAGATAATTGTGTTCTTGATAATATAAAATGTACGATTTGCAAAGTGATTTATCATGCACCCTGTCAAGGCTATCTGGATAAGAGTTTTGTTGGGGGCCTTTTTCAGTGTGTTAATTGTCGTGAGGAAATCAACAGCGTTGCAGACCCATCAAATATTCAACAAACAAGTAGGCTATACAAAGTCAGGTTGGAATAAAAAAATATTCAAATTTAACAATTAAATATTGTGATTCATAGGTTTCTTGTAGCCGCGATGTACAAATATGGTAGAGTTCCAGAAAGCCTCCAAAAGCCTGTTTTTGATCAAATTAAGCAAAATATTGAAAAGTTCAATCTTTTTACAAATGAAGGGTAAGTGAATTTGATCAAACATCTGGTTATTTTCATTTTGTAAATTTTCAGAAATGAGTTTGTTATTAATAATTTGAATGCTTTGAAGAGTTTGTTCAAGTTTCACCACAAGCAACCAGAGTTACGTAAACAGATTCAATTTTCCTGTTAAATTGTTCTAATTTTTGATATTGGCAAAACATGACGTGTTGTTAAAATTTTGAAACCGCCAAATTATTTGCACAAAAAAAGAACCCAAAGTATAACAAAACTTGGTTCTATGTATAATTGGTTGCATAAACTTGCAACAGTTTTGAATATAATTTCCGTACAGTGTTGTCAGGTTTCGTGAAATTTTACCACGTCTGYGGATTTTCATTTGGTGAAAATTGTCATATGTGGTTTTTCGAAATGGAAGAAACTGTTTTCAATTATTGATTTATCAATTAGGCAAAAAATAAAACTTGTACTTATCTATTTCGAGCATTTTCCATGTTTTTCGACCAGYAACTTGATTGTTTTGTTAAATTTTCTCAAATGAAAAATTAAAAAAAAACACCAAATTGGTTAAAAACAGTTCTATTTATTTTTTACGAGATTTTACTAAACCGGAAAATGTGTTTTTCGAATGTTTTTTCAGCTAAAAATTAGGTGTTATTTTGCAGAATTGGCTTAAAACGTTGTAATTTTTGCTTTTTTTCGAATGTTTAAGCACGTTTTTAAGATAAAAAGAAGAAAAAGTCCTTTAAACAGGCTAAAAAAATTACAAGATTAAATCGAAATTAATATATTTTTGGCTTGTTTTGCTCGAATTACTTTGTTTTTGAACCAGAGACTTATTTTTTGCAAAATCTTGTCCAAACACCTTTAAAAGTAACAAAAATGATTGAAATTAATGTTATTTGGTTTGTTTCACACAAAATTTGGTGGAAATGCTTTTAAGCATATTTTTGTACTAAAATCTAAGGTTTTTTGCTAGATTTTGCTGAAACAAACTAAAAAAATCTACAAATTAAGTAAAAAATTATTATATTATTGCATCTCTTCAGCGTTTTAACACGTTTTTCAGCTAGAAATTTAATTATTTCGCAAAAGTTTGTTAAAAACAAGCCAAAAAACCTTCAAATTAGACTGAAAATTATAATTTTTGCTTTTTTTAAGTTTAAACAGATTTTTAAGCTGAAAACTTTATTTTTTTGCGAGATTTTACCTTAGCGTGTCAAAAATGACTAACTTTTATCTAACTTTAAGGCTTTAACTTCGTTTGTCAAATTTTCTCAAAAAAATTCGATAAACCACCAAATTGGTTTGGTCGAAAATGCTCTTAAGCACGTTTTTGTACTAA